CACACACACACACACACACACACACACACACACACACACACACACACACACACACACACACACGGAATTTCAAAATCTACTGCCCATCATAGAAAACAGTTTTAGCAAGAATTCAAGAAAGATTAAAGAACTTATTGCATCAGGAAACTATAGAAATGCTGATTTCTAAACCTTGCTAACTAAAGATAGTTTTTAAGGGGCTATATAAAAGAGTATCCCTTTTTCTTCTTCTGTCAGTTGTAGGACTTAAGCTGAGGGCTTAGCACTGTCACCTGAGCATAAGCTCAAGGCTAGTGCTCTACCACTTTGGGCCATATATACACTTCTGGTTTTCTGGTGGTTAATTGGAGTCTCACAGACTTTCTTACCCAGTTTGAATTCGAACTGCAATCCTCAGATCTCAGCCTTCTGAGTAGCTAGATTACAGGTCTGAGACACTAGTACCTCACTATTATCCATTTTATAAATGGTTTATTCTATGTAGTTATGTAAGACCATATGGTAAAATAATCATAAAATTATGCCTATCAGGGGCTGGGAAGATGGCTCAGTGGTAGAGCGTTTGCCTTGCATGCCTGAGGCCCTGGGTTCGATTCCTCAACACCACATAAGCAAAAAGAAAAAAGCCGGAAGTAGCGCTGTGGCTCAAGTGGTAGAGCGCTAGCCTTGAGCTGAAGAGCTGAGGGACAGCACCCTGGCCCAGAGTTCAGGCCCCACGACCGGACCCAAAAAAAAAAATTATGCCTATCAGTAAATAGGTTTGACTTATTTGGTTCCATTGCCAAACATCTTTGAAACTCAAATTAGTACATTGTAGCTGCCTACTCATTTTCAGGTAAAATCAGCAAAGTCTGACTTATTTGCCCTTTTGTAGGACAAAGATTAAGAGCTTATGCTAATAAGCACACTCATAGTCAGTATTAGCATCTGTGTATAGAGGACTAACAATTAACTAGGACTTCATGGTACTTTAAAATGCTTTGATTGCCAGGATAGGGCAATTCACCATCATCTAGATCAGTGCTGTCCAATATAACTTTCTGCAGTGCTGGGAATGTGTTGTTCAATAAAATTAGTTGTAGTAGCTATGATGCTCTTGAGTGGAGGAAAACTGGATGTTTTATCTAAATAGCTCTTCATGGAGACAACTGATTTGGACAGTGCAGTTTTAGAACCTACTGTCTGGAATCTTTAAGCTGTCTGTCCTCTCTTCCACTGGTGATATAATTTTACTCTCAAGGTTTATAAACCCATCTTCTGATCCTGACCCTGGTTTTCCTACATGTTCATCTGATAACTTCCCCAATGGCTGGTGCTAGAAACAGCACTCATATAAAACCCAACATCGAAGACAGCCACACTAGACTTAGTGAGCCAAGCATCAAATGGCAACTGAAATACTCATTGTCTCTCAGCCTCAGTCAGCCTGATCTGGAGAGTTCAAGAGGACTCAAACCAGCCATGGGACACCTGGCAAAAGAATGTGAGTGATGTGGCATCTGCCACTTGCCAATTCTCCCATGGAGACACCCCAGCCAAGTGCTCCCCTCCGGTAGGTCCCTCAGGCACTAACTGTAGCAGGTGCTTAAACGTTTTGTTGTTGTTGTTTGCTGAGAAACACAGATTTCTTACTTGAGCCAATAAATTAACTAAAAGTGAGATAAAGGGTAGGCATCCCAGACTCCTCCATTGTGTATGTTAGGAAACTGAGTCATGAATGTTAGGAAAGACCAAGTAGACAAAAGTAGAGAAAGAAGGCAGAGACCTCAGCAGACCAGAACAGGCTCAAACCATAGCTACAGAGGGCCTCCATGTGACACGGAGAAGTAGGGTCAGGAAGACCAAGGAAGGGGGAGCGGGGAGGATGTCAGGGATTTATGGTAAGGGTATCCTCTGGACACCAGCAGTCCTGTACTTTTAGATAAGGTCGGGGGTGACGTTTTCTTGAGAACCAGGAGGGGCCGCGGGGGGGCGGGGGAGGGTGGTCCGTGGGCTGTGGGAGAAGCATGGAGTTATGAGAGCAAAGCAGATAACCCGCCACGGAACCTATGTCCTTTGTCCCGAGCCATTCTTCCCTGCAAGTCCTTCTGGGATCCAGGAAAGGCCAGACCATGACTGTGGACATGGCCAAGTTCCACCTGCTGCCTCTGAGCACGGCGCTGTAACCATGCGTATCTGTGTTCTGCCTCTCGCTCCATCCCGCCGCGGCTGGCGCGGTGCCGACGCGCTGCTATTCCCACGGACGAGCCCCTCTCCGCCCTTGCCCGCACTGGCACCCGGGGTGCGCGGCTGGACGGGCACGCCGGGCCTGGGCCTAAAACCGCCTGCTTCCTAACGACGCCCTGCAGCACACATCCCAGAGCAGCCTCCCACTGGAATTCCACCCAACCAGGCCTCCAGCCCCCACGGCCTCCAAGCAGGCTCCCCAGTACCCTCAAAAACCCGCCTGCCACCCCCGGCCCGGGCGCCCACGCTCGAGGGCGCCTACAAAATGGCGGCGGGGGCCGCCGCAGCCAACCATAGAGACACGCGCCTGGCGCGTAGAGAGGGCGCAGGCCTCTTTGCACCCGCCCCTTCCGGAGGAAGCGGGGTGGAGCGTTCTCCTCCCTCCCTCCTGCGAGGTCTCTCTAGGAGAACAGCGTGCCGTCTCTATGGTGCCGGGTCGTCCGAGCCAGGCTCCGTAGTTGGTGAAAGCAGTGGCGGAGGCGGAGGGAGGAGAAATGGGCGGGAGGCCCGGGAATAGCTGGAGGCCCAGCGGCCAAGGGGTTGTCATGGAGCCGTGAGGCCGGGCTCGCGCATGCGCCAGCGGACCTGCGGGGCTGGTGGAGAAGCCCGCGACCCTGGCCCTAGGTGAGAAAGTGAGGGCTTGGCCGGGGAGCGGGGCGGTGGAGGGAGCGGGGACGGCGCGGCCCGAAGGGTCCAGGCGGGGAGCGCGTGGAAAGCCGGCGGGAGTGGGGACGGGAGGAAGAGGGGCGAGGGAGGGGGAGCCAGGACTTTGGGGGGGGCTACGAGCTTTTGGGGGAGCAGGGAGACAGACCGAGCGCGCCGAGGGCCCGTCTGCCCACGTTGGTGGGTCTGCAGCAGGGGCTGGCCAGGGGCGGAGGGGCTGGTGTGGGGAGCAAGTTTGGAGAGAGTGGGCTCTGGGCCGGCCGTGGGGGAGACGGGGACCTGGGAGGCGACCGCGGGACCGAAGCTGGAGGCCTGCCGGGCTGGGAGTGGAGGGCCCGGGAATGGGCAGGGTTCCAGCACGGAGCCACTCACCCGGGAGCCGCCTGGATCTCCCCGAAGGAGCTTCTTATCTGGGCCTGGGGTACAGGTGTGCTGCCTTTTCCACAGACCTACCATTCCCCCCACACACACACCCCCTTCGCTGATTAAATCTCCTGAGTGGCCAACTCGTCAGAAATAGGGGTGTGGGAGAAGGCGGACAGTGGAGTTAGTAGTTAGGGGGTGGTTTGGGGGGTAGTTGTGATCTCGGCCCAGGCCAGAGCCAGGTGCCCTGTTATTGCCCAAGTCCTGGCAGTGTCCACATTGCCTGGCGTTTGCCTTGGAGACTTGTGGTATGCCAGTCAGAGCACAGCCCAGTTCTGTCCTGCTGAGCTGGCAGGCTGCTGGATGCCTGGAGGGTGTACATGCTGTCTGGTACAGATGCCATGTGGGCTGGTGCAAGTGTTTAGGTGGGCACTGTTACTGTGAACTCTTTTTGCAAAGAAACTTTAATCCTCTTGCCCTTTGAAAGGCAAGGATAGAGATTTGAAGCCCTACTTGGTTTCAAATGTAGGAAATTGTATGAATCCCAAGGCTCAGGATCTTTGACACTAATTTTCAACCAAGTTAGAGAATGATAATGTATATAAAATGTATGCATGTATATAAATATTGGTGGTATTTTTTTACATCATTAAAATACACAGACATTTCTCCCCCCCAAGAATGGTATCTGTGAAAAGACAGATCAAAAGGAAATAACTTCAAAGAAAACATAGTAAGATGTTTATAATTGTAAATGATTATTCATGGTTTTGTGACTAGTAAATTATTTTCTATGCCCTTATCACTTTATTGTATTTAAACCTCTGCTTGGTCTTTCTCCTCACACCTCTCTGTGCATGCATGTCATACACGTGACACATTTTAAAGGGAATGTGAGCTCTCAGGAATGTTGCCAAGTATCTATAAAAGGAGAGAGCTGCCAGCTGCATTTCAGATCCTTTCCTTGTAACCCTTTGGTCTCCTTTTTATCATGAACTCAGATCTCCAGAGATTATGGATTACACCAACCTTTAATTTGGCTGGTGGATTTGTCCCAGAAGTTTCATCTTAGAACAAAGGGTAGATTAGATATGTGTCTTGTATTAGACCTGACTGGATCTTGAGATGACTGTCGTGTTTGGAAAGGCTAACTAAGTCTTGATCTTCAAGGTGTTCAGGTATTTCTCTGACAGCTAAAGTGCTCTGGCAGTCAGACACTCAGCAAGACAGCTTTGTTAGAATCTGTTATTTTCTTTGACATTGTCATTATTGGGGGCTGAGTTTCAAAGATGGAAAGAGGCCACCTGTGAGGTCAAGGACATAAATAACTAAATGCTAATATAAGAAGTGCAAAAGGTAGAAGTAAGCACAAGTGGTATGGAGTAATTGCTAGGATTTTATCTTTTTTTTTTTTTTTTTGGTCGGTCGTGGGTCTTGAACTCTGGGCCTGGGTGCTGTCCCTCAGCTCTTCAGCTCAAGGCGCTCATTCTACCACTTGAGCCACAGCTCCACTTCCGGTTTTCTGGTGGTTAATTGGAGATAAGAGTTTCACAGACTTTCCTGCCTGTGCTGGCTTTGAACCTCCCTCCTCAGATCTCAGCCACCTGATAGCTAGGATTACAGGTGTGAGCCACTGTCACTGGGCTAGGATTTTATCTTATTCCTATTCCTGTAAGCCTGTTTTTATTGATTAGCTTTGAATTGTGAATTTTAGCATATCTGTTCTAGGTCCACTTTGGGTCATTTCTGACAGTTTGAGAGCTTAATGCAAAATAAGTAAGAGGCATAGGGTCTGAGATGTTTGTAAAGCAGTTAAGTAGTTCCAGGCTGGGCCAGGAAGCCAAGGTATGAGATGCTGAGAGGAATCTTTAATTCCTTCTCAGTTGAGAGCATTTAAACTTTACTATAAAATAATGCTGAGGGAGAAGAAAAGCTAGTGTTCTGAAGGTTTTCAGACTTTGCCATTGGTGTGGTCCTGGTGGCCACTGCTACCACTGCTTCTCGGCCCAGCCTTCCTTGATGCTATGTGGCATGGGTCTGTGTTAATGGCTCATGGACTCCCTCAGCCCACTCTCTGCCAGACAAGTGAGCTGGAGAGGGATGGAGCTCCGCATGTGCCCTGCCACATGAGCCTCCTTGGCTGGGACACTAAGGCTTTCTGCTATAAAAAGAGAACTTCATCGAGAACAGCCTTTTATATTTTTCATACCCAAAATAGTCGATTTACCATTCTAAAGTCAATTATGTGCTTTATTTCCACCTGCAGCCAACTCCCCAGGATCTAAAATGTTAGCATCTCTTTTCCTCTTAACTGATTTGTCAATGTTTCAATATTTTGATTCCATTAGCAATACTGCCTTGTAAATTCTTGGTGAGCCAGAATAAATTCCTGTGTATTTTTCTGTAGCTTCATTGTGTACATTTTAATAACATACCAAGATGTTTCTCATTGTCTTGTTATAAAGATTATAAAAGGCAAAATCAGATGTTTTATCTAAAATATCTATAAAGTAACCCATGCCTGGTAAGATACTGTGAAACTTCGTTAGGTCCTTAACTATTGTGAGCTGCTTCTCTTAATCTGGATCACCAGGCTGGTTCGACCTGGTCTAGGCTGAATCCACGAGTCACTTGTGCTTCCATGTTGAAGAAGGCTCCTAGTCACATTTGAAATTATTATTTTAGGAAAGTAACACTATGCACATTTGCTGGGTTTCATACAAAAGGATCTTGATTTAATTAGAGATACAGTTTTACATTTTAGCCTGCTTTTTAAACTGTGTTGTCCATGCTATAAAACATCATAGCTGTCAAATAGATACTGCTTTTGCAGAGTGCTCTGTAAGATGTGACAGTGTGCCAGGTGCCAGAGGCTCACATCTGTAATCCTACTCAGGAGGCTGAGAACTGAGGATTGTGATTCACAGCCAGCTTGGGCAGGAAAGTCTGTGGGAGTCTTATCTCCAGTTAACCACCAGAAAATCAGAAGTGGCTTTGTGGTCTGCCTTGAGTGAAAAAGCTCAGGAACAATGCCCAGCCCCTGAGTTTAAGTCCCACAACCAAAAAAGGAAAAAACAAAAACAAAAACAGTGCCATTGATTACGTTATGCCCATAGGATTAAACATGTGACCTGTGGAAGAGTCCTTGATTAGACGTGAATTGAATGAGGAAGCCAGTCCCCTTAAATGATATGACAAAATCTTTTCTACTTGGAATTGTGTTTCATCTCATTCAGATTAGTTTATCTTTCCTTTAGTTCATCTGTATACTGGAGTTTGAGCACAAGAACTGTCAAGGATGCTTCGGAGTATTCTTCTATTTAATTACATTGTGAATCCTTCCTCTTGTGTTCTTCACCAGGTCCTCCATTGTCAGAAACATTCAGGCTTAGCACTTCAGGGCTTGCAGATGTAATGTTGGCTGGCTGCACATGTTTCTCTCAGGACAATAGGATGGAGTCATGAACAGATTGTGATTTTGAAACATTATTAGACTTTGCCTACACCTACCTACTTTCATCATCATCTTATTATTATTAATTTCCTTTTCTGGTACTCTATTCTCTTTATCCCTGCAGTATCATCTGTGTTCTTAGCCTTACAGTTGCCATTTTTTGATGACTCAAATATTTGTTAAAACATCTGGAATGTCCTCAGCTTCTGCCAGTTCCGTTGTAGGGATAATTTGTCTCATTCTTGCACTGTTAGCCAGGGTCTAGATGTGTACCACTGAGGCAGATCTATCTGGGGTTTTCCTTGGACTCTGTCTTACATGTAGCATTCTACCCAGCATCTCCCCTTGGATGACCCACAGTCACTTCAGGTCTTACATGACCAAAATTGATCTAGTGGAGTCATACCATCTCACCCCACCCCCAGTTCTCTTCCATGCTGTTCTAGGCTCCCTAGCTTAGAAAATAGTACCACGTCTACCTCCTACCCTCCAGATAACATCAGCTCAACCTCTTTTCCTTCTCCCCATCTCCTCCTCCCAGGCCACTAATGTAGTTCCCTGGGCTGCAGAGGTAGCATCTGAATAATCTTAGTGCCTCCTGCCTGTCTCCGCTTTCGTTGCAGGCCAGCATTCAAAATACTTTTTTAAACTCAGGGCCTGGGCACTGTAACCTTAGCTTTTTTTTTTTTTTTTTCTCATGGTAGCACTCTACCACTTGAGCCATAGCTCCACTTCTGGCTTTTTGGTGGTTAATTGGAAATAAGAGTCTCATGGACTTTCTTGCCTGGGCTGGCTTTGAACCTCGATCCTCCTATCTCAGCCTCCTAAGTAGCT